CCGATATCATGAAGCTAAAAAAGAAAGTAAGCCAGACACTGAAAACGGTAAGTTATCAACTCCACCAGAGCTAAGAAAAGACAATAAATTAGGTAAGTAATTCCAGACTCCAGGTACTGGATTCAAGTCTTTGTCAGTAGAACCAAGAGACTATGGGCGCGATCCATTCAACCAAAATTCCAACCGGTCCGACCGGGAAAAGTGGTCCACCTCAAAAGGTGGACCCGTTTTTTCGAAAACTTTCCGGTTGGACCGAACTGATCCATTGAGTTTTGGACCGAAATTTCCGGAAATTTTGGTTGAATGGATCGCGCCCTGTGATCTATTCTTTCTTGGTAGAACTTGGATTCCGTATTTCAATCGTTAGTGGGAACAAACTCCTTTCTGTGGACAAGAGAGGATAAAGCTCGAGCTTTATCCCCTCTTTCTGTGGATTATTACTTGTTTCTATATTAAATTCATGCCTTGAATACCCACTTGAATGTACTTTACTGGCACTTCAAGCCCAACGTCTCTCCTCCTCTTTCCAGTTACTTGTGCAAAGAGTTTATTTTGGGAGTTTGCGACCAGGAAGTTTTTCAACAAGCGTTTTCTTTATTTTTGACGAAAATATTTGTTAAAATTGAAACAGTTCTCGTTTCTTCTACCGACAGACTAGTAGCTTTTCGAGCCCGAGTTAGCCTTTTTTAAAAAAGGTTTTAAGTTGTTGTAACGTTTATAATTTATAATTTGTTATGCATAAGTACATTCAAAGCTGAATTTATACATAACTGGGCCCGATAGAAAGAAAACAAAATGAACTTGCGGTGAACAGAAAAGTCGGCCAGCTTTTTCTTTTAGGTCTTCTTTTATTTTGTTGACTCTATCATCCGTAACCTGTAAATTGGCTACCGTAGAGTATCATGCATAAAAACGATTTTTTGCCCTTTATATTTTTTTCATATCACTCGTTTTCACTCAGTTACCTCGAACTCCAAATCATTTTCTCCTGCCGCGACATTGGACCCGCGACCGCGACTTTGGACCCGCGACCGCGATTTTGGCCCGCGACCCGCGACCCGCGACTATTAGTCAACTCACTTTTGTTTGATTCTCGTTTCTTATTAATTCTTAAAATTAATTATATTAATTCCTTCGTCTTTGAGTGGGATTTATTACAAGTCTTGCTAGGAAAACCAGCTAGCGTGGCGGTGATTGTTTTATCGAGTATGGCCTGTCAAATTATTTCTAATGGCAGGATTAACCGGAATGAAATGAATTGCAGTTAAGTGAAAATACCTGTGTACACGCCGGACAGTAAGAAAGCTGTTTTACGGCAGTTACTGTTATGATGACATTAGACGACGTTAAGTGTTGGTGCAAGTGTACTAAGAGAAAGCTAATATAAGTTGTGTTGATTAGATTCGAATTTTGCTTCATAACTTGGGACTCAAGTGTTTGATTTAACCCTATAAAAATAAGGGGGTCTTCGTTTTCGGGTCTTAGTTTTCGGGTCTTCGTTTTCGAAGATGAACAAAGGGGCAAAAATAAAGAAAATAAGGGGGTCTTCGTTTTCGGGTCTTAGGTTTCGGGTCTTAGTTTTCGGGTCTTCGTTTTCGGGGCTTCGTTTTCGAAAATGAACAAAGGGGCAAAAATAAAGAAAATAAGGGGGTCTTCGTTTTCGGGTCTTAGGTCTTAGGTCTTAATTTTCGGGGGTCTTAGTTTTCGCAACAACCGTCATGTGGCAACTAAATAATAACTTGTATAGCACCATCAAAATGAATAAAAATCCGGACAACATAAACCGATACCTTTCTTCACTTCGACGTTTTGCTTCTTTAAATGAAATACTTCAAAATCATGAGAAAACATCTTGATTTTCGCTGTCCCGGGTTGCGGTAGATAAGACACAGAAGACACGACAGTTTCTACTTACAAAGGCCGCGGAGGGCGCAAAATTGCCTCCGATTTGCCGGTTCCGAACATACCTTACCGTAATCGCGCCAATTCCCTTTTAAAAAGTCTGGCTCTCCAACAAAGAGTTTCACTTTTTAATTCTTTGAAAAGCTCCTTTTAAAATATAAGGGCGATGGAATACAACATTACGAGCAAAATTTAAACATCCGAACAATGCTACAACAGCAAACACGACCTCGTGCGTTGCAACAAAATATAGCAATATTTTAAAGCCAGATTACATATTATTAGTAATCGGCTTCTGGCATTATGAACAAACAAGTTTAAGTCTCGAACTTAGTTCGGCGGAGTCTGTGTCGAAGGCTCGGAAATTGAAAAAATGATAATAAATCAATGGAAACCTAAAGTGCCTTTCTTGTTTACAATGAAAAATGTCAGTTTAGTTTTCGGCATTCCGCAGCTCCTAAAGAAATGAACTGTAATCCATGAAATGTATTCAAATCTGAACTGATGTTTTGTTCACCTCGATCTGCTTTCAGAAATTTGGTGGAAAGTTGATAATCTGTTCTTTGGACTTGAATGAATAATACTCGGAATTTGATTCAGTACACGGCTAAGCTGAAATGAGAAGAGCAGGGGGTAAAAAGAATCCTGAACTCACGAAGTTTTTGACCCGAAGTAAATTCACTCGATGCCATGTGAACGTCCTCCTTACTTTATATTCAGTTTCTCATTGTTTCTTGTTATGGCGTCTACACAGCATACCGTTAACAGAAGAACAAACTTATGATAACTTTGAAGCATGCTGGATCATTATCGTACACCATTTCCACTGTCAGAACAACCACTTACTGACTGCACGAAAAAAAGTTATGGGAAGCGAGATTTTGCAAAGGCAGAGGGTCGTAAGACAGAGAACGGAGAGGGGGATGCGCGACGCCGAACGGGAGGTGGGAGGGTATGTTGGGACTTGCTGCGTCTGTGTTGGCAGTGATGTGCAAACAGATGCAACAACCCCAGCAATTTTGGGACCTGCAGTGCATCGTGGGAAGGCCACGGTGAGGGTAAGAGGAGGAATGAGTTTGCGGAATGGTATGTGGCATGGGTTGCGGAATGTAATATACGCAGAATGACCCACAGATATAAATTAAACTGAAAAGTGCCTCTTTTTTGGCGCCAATCAATTTGCAAACGCAGCCGCTGATTTAATGTCGCGGGCTCGACATACGATGACAATCACGGCCACGAAGGCTCATTGTCGATTAGCCTTTTCAGCACCGCCACAAAGAATCTCCTTGCCTTTATTAGTCTGGCTGCATGGTAGCACCGATACTACATCACGAAAGTCGGCCATTGAAGAAAAGATGTTTTCAAGGAAGGTCACGCTCCCTTCTACTTTAATTTTTTCTGCAAAAGATGTTTGGACGACTAACTTATCAGCTTCCTTTTACCTATATTTGTATTTGAAACCACGTGAGAAGTGTTTCTTTTCAGACGGTGGGTTACGTGATCGTGACATAATATTCAGAGATGAAAGGGATCTTGTTTTTTGTTTCCTTGAATGCGTGCTTACGTTTCCGGCACGCGAAGCTAACAGCTGGCGGCGAAGGGCGACTTCGAATTGGCAATTGAGTGTGTGCTTTTTTCTCTTTTTTTCCCTTCCTACCGTTTTAGCGTTTTTTTTTTTTACGATCAAACGCAGACACTCACATAAACAAGGAAAAGGCGAAGACACGCGGAAAGGCCGAAAGGAGACAGAGAGCAGCTTCAATTTCTGAAGTACAGATTAATGTTTGACTAGGGGCGTTCGTTTAGTCTCAAATATGATCTGATTCGTCCACCGTATTAATTAACAATCCCTAGAATTGTAGCTAGCACGACTTCACGTTCAGCAAGCGTTTTTTTCCGTCTAGCGTTTTGACATTTGACTATATTATAATGGAAGGCAGAAAGAGAGAAAGTATTGTTGAAAACACCAAAAATAAATTAAGTATTAATTAAGTATTACATAGACACGAATGCAGTAAAGCTTATCGCTAGTTTCTGCTCTGCCATGTTGGTTTGAGCCAGCAGCCGCATAATTATGTCCTTCCGCTCCACTGGGAAGGGTACAACCCATAAGACTTCAGAGACAATGTGTAATGCGAGTGCGTGGCTTCCACAATGTTGGAAAAGCTGCGCAAACGGATCCAAAATTGTTGCGCTCCGCTTCGAAGATCACGAAACAAAAGAAATGTTGGGAGTTGTTCAAAAGTTTGACCGGTTTCAAACTTTGCGCACACGCAACAACATGCAACAAGGTGTACAAACGGACGCAAGATGTATCATCCATACAATCTCATGTTAGCCAAGAAAGTTGCGTCCGCTTGCACGGGGCTTTACTTGGCAAAAGAGAAGGAAAACATGGGATAACTGGCTTAACAAGGCAAAAGGACTCCGTAAAGTGCTCGACCTGTAAACGACGTTTCTGGCCCAGTTTTCGCTCTTTGTAGGCAGATAGTGAGCAGACAACGGCTCGTCTAGCCTTAAAACACCTTTATTCACAAAAGCTGAGCTGGTTTTGAAAATCTGAGCGCTCGACCACATCTTGCATCTAACTAGCAATGTGTAAAATGACGGTTTTCAAAGTAGCGCCATTCCTGAATGCTTCAGTCGATATTGCTACGTTCATCGATGGGCTAATAAAAACTCGCGTTACTTGCATAAGGAATCACCGTTCAAAGCCTATACATTCTTTAACTTTCCTTTCCTTTTGCTGATTGCTCAAGCTGTGCTCATTATAATACATTACGTTGAGATGAACAGGAATACAAGCTATGCCACAGATTCATTTTTGTAGGATTTTCATTCAAATAAAAGTACACAGCCTGTTAGTGATCCAAGCACATATTTATTGCAACTAATCGCCGCGATAATACAGCTGTTTTCTAACATTTCACTAAATCAACTAAAAAATTGTGGTTATTGTATCATTCCCTTCGCATAAGCACCCTTCTTAATAGATAGACAGCCACGTTTAAAGTTTCTTTTTTCTTAGGTTAGCAAATGAAATTAGTGCATTGCTATGCAAAGTCTCGTTTATGCGTGGACCTTGGCATTGTGCT